AACTGAATAAAGAATATAGAACAATCTAAAATAGAAGTAAATATCTATAAATCAGCGTCTTGTAAGAAACTTGTCATCTGTAACTAACCAAATATCAACAACCAATATATCTTCTATTATTTATTAACTCTCTAATTGTGAAAATAACATTTCTGTTTCACTTCAACAAGTACTAAATTATCATGGGAAGTGAAAAAATATCTAATGGTTTATTGTACGCTTTACTTTAATAATAAAGTTTAGAATAACTCTTCTGTGGACTCTTGTCTTCATCTATAGGCTTTTCTTGTGTAACATGGTTATGTATTGGGGGGGGAGGGGGGAGGGGGGGGGGGAGGAGGGGAACATAATACACAAAATTTATAGAAACCTTACATCGTTTCTAGAAGTAAATTTATAACCACGGACAAGAGTAGAAAGTTGTTAGTTAGCCCAGACTTGGTTGTTTATTACTGTTAGAATTGAAATTAAATTAAAAATTATTTACTGAACGTGTTTCAAATAGAATACAGGTGTAATTTGTAAATTAGCTTACAAGTGGAGATAGAAAATATGTTCGGTTTAAAGCCGTGGCCACACTTTTCAGACTTTCAGTTCGAATATCAGGAATTATCTTGATGATCTTCTTCGGGTTATATTACTTTTTAAGAACATAACATTTTTTGAAAATTTTGAAACGAAATATCCCGATATTTTGAAGATTAGGGTTGATTTTCCATCGTGTTTGTTGGCATAAAATTCGATAAGTGTATTCCAAAATCCAAAATTCATTGGTGTGGTAAAAAACTAAATGGTTTTTATCTGCCCATCTCTTTAACTTTCTACTTTGTCTTTTCTTTTCCTTCCTTTTTTATGACATTTTCCTCGTTAATATCCGGTATAACCTCAATGAAAACCACGTTATTCGCGAGCGAGCTAGAGGATCTGAATACCTCCCTGATTACCTGCTATGATTCTTCGTCTACTCGATACCCCTTTATATTTAACACATACCTAATAATATACAGTATTAATGTGTTACATTTAATTAGCAGTCTGTATTTAAGTTGTCTAATTGATACAGGTGTAGGCTGGCAGATTGACAAATACACAGGTCTACAACCAAACACAATCAGGCTTTTATAATACATTTGTTGTTATTCCGCCATTTGAGTCATATGTGTTGTAGTGCAATGCCTTGTGTTGTGCTGTTTTGTGCTGTTGTGTTGTGTTGTATTGTTTTGTATTGTGTTTCTTTGAATTATTAGGTTGGGGCATAGCCGTGTGAGCCTCTGTTCAGAGAGAAGAGTCTCGGGGTGGAGGGGGGTTGGGCTGGGGTTCATTTAGGCTTGCATACTCACTTTACATCTCGGCCCAGTACCAATTTTTTTTACGTAACCTAGACAAGAACGTCATATTAAGATCTCAACACTCTAGCCGACTGTGCTACAGAACGTCTTATTAGAATATGATATCGAAGTTCATGGTGAAATGGAATTTTACGTTCTACTCGTGTCGTAGTTTTAAGATAACTGAAATAGTTTTTTGGATGTAATCAGTGTTACTAGGTCTACATGTTGAAAGGGGGAATCATACAGAAATTAAACTGTATCAAATAGAAACCATCTGTATCCATGTTCTTAATAGAAAATATAAATTGTTTAGATGTAGAAAGAAAGTGGTTTGACTTATATAGCAAACCATAACAAAAATAAAAATCGACATTCACCTACTATCCGACCACAGAAAACTACTATACCCAACCGATTTAAACCACCTATTCCAATTTATGTTTTTGTCCATCCTTGGCTTGTACATTTGGGAGAATCACCCCCCCCCCCCCCCCCCCACTCACCAAAAACTAACAATAATCGTACTGTCCTGCAGTGTTTCACAATTGCATTTTGCCTAACATCTTTATGAAAACCAACATGCATCTATCGATATCGCAATCGTTTAGTCAAAATCAATAACGCCCTGCAATAAGATAATAAAAAGGAAGGAAGAAAAAAACAACCTTCGGGCTTTTAAACTATGTAAAGGTATTATCAGTACAATCTACATAATTATTAAAGTATTAAAAATAATGATTATTAAATATTTAACTGTATTATTTGTAAAGTTATTGAGTATATTATCTGTTTCAATGTGTGAAACTAATCCTCAACAATTACTGTCAGCATTCTTTATCCTGGGTCACCTCGACTTTTAATATTTAACTCGTTTAGAGAAAATTGCTATTCTTCGACTCTAAAAACATTCCTCGAGGTTGATAGAAATTGGTATTTCAGGACTATTTACTGGTGTAGATAAATTGGGATTATACTTTAGAGGAATGTTGCTATTGCATAATCAAATTGTTCAAATTGATGATAATGATGATAATGATGATGATTGACTTCCGTGTAACAGATCAACTTTAGATAATTTCATTATGATTTATTATGTCAATATTTCACAAAAATCATTTGGTAATTGAATGCTGATCAGGCGCGTTTCTAGGAACTTAGGTGAGGGTTTGCGAGCAGGGGCCACAAAATTTGACAGGGAGTCAAAGACTTTTCTTTCACAATGTAAATTAATAAAAATTGACCTCAACTCCCCCCTTCCCCTTTAGAAAAAGCCACTGATGCTGCTGCTGCTGCTGCTGATGATGATGATGATGGTGATGATGATGCCGATGATGATGATAAGGATGATGATGATGCCGATGGTGATGCCGATGATGATGCCGATGATGATGATAAGGATGATGATGATGCCGATGATGATGATAAGGATGATGCTGATGATGATGCTGATGCCGATGATGAGGATGGTGATGAGGATGATGCTGATGCCGATGCTGATGCCGATGATGATGCTGATGATGCTGATGATGATGATGATGATGATGAGGATGATGCTGATGATGATGATGGGGATGATGGTGATGAGGATGATGCTGATGATGATGATGATGGTGGTGATGAGGATGATTCTGATGATGAGGATGATGATGAGGATGATGATGAGGGTGATGATGATGATGATGATGATGATGATGTCGATGATGAGGATGATGGTGATGAGGATGATGCTGATGCCGATGATGATGCCGATGATGATGATGCCGATGATGATGCCGATGATGCCGATGATGATGATGCCGATGGTGATGCCGATGGTGATGCCGATGATGATGCCGATGATGAGGATGATGATGATGCCGATGATGAGGATGATGATGATGATGATGGTGATTATGTATACAGATCAGATTTAGATATCTACTATGTCGTTCAATATGACTTGGTTTATTGTAATTGTCCACGGTTGTGATGATCATGATAATAATCAATTATGAATTGATGATGAATGGTGACTCGGGGTATATTACGGATTGTATCAACCATTGGAAACCATAGTGATATACATATTAGTAACATAATCAAATTCACGTTATTAACCATACAGTATATAATGAGCTGTTAATTCATTATGAAATTGTCTAGTCGACTGGTTGTATTCATCAATTGATGGAGGGGGGGGGGGGGCGGGGGTCGATATCGCACCGTACCGTACTGCTTATAACAGTGCAGAATTGCTGGAAATGTTAAAACCACACCCCTTTTCAATTGGATGAGGCCATGGGTCACTTTACTCAAATAGCTTTGAGGTTACATACGCTTGCATTGTACGCTTAGTATTAACCCGTAAGTTACTGAAAAACCTGATTAGTTTAAATCAATTCCGCACTCAGGAAACAAAGGATTGATGTCAGCACCAGATGACGTGATACAAGATTTACACAATGATTAGGTGCAATTATTACTGGAAGGAAATCCATACAACAAATATGATAAAATCAACAGATACTTATCCAGGATATTCAAGTCCATTATAGAACAATAGTAACTTTGATCAGAAAAGAATATTATAAACCTTCGTTGCTTCACATAGGCATATTTTGGGTGGGGGTGTTTGAAGGGTGAGAGATGTTATATATTAGCGGCGGGACGAAATTGCTCAGAAGGCGCACAGTGGCGGAGCCAGGTTTACGTCCGAGGGAGGGATATATGAGATTGCCAGAATTTCTAACCTAGTTATGAGATTTTTGCCCGAAAAGTTTGTTTCGGAGCTGCGAGGGGGCGCTCACATGCCAAAATCTTTCATCCAACTCAACCTGACAACCACTATAGTCTGTTTAACACGTTAGTAACAGCTGAGAATATTTCGCTAACTATAGATTGTTCTTTCCTTCGTATGATTACCTCTCCAACAGGCACCAGAAAAAACCTCTAACTCGTTTAATAAAAACCTGTATATGTGACAATTCATTATTTTATAATGATAATGGAGTAGCAGGCTCTGATGTTGTGGCAATGAGATATTATTAATATTGGTTTAAGTAGATATGTAAAGCCTGTCAGAAATTGTCTAGACATTGCTTGACTTATGATTGATGTCTAAAATCTAAGGGACCTTCCATACCAGCGATCAGCGAATATGAATAGCGTTCATGAGTACCGAACGCAACTCACAACTCAAATCTCAACCATAGCGATCACCAGTTGCATATGGTTGCGAATATGAATAGTAGTAATACGTTTCTCATACAACTGGGTTGTCAGTTGCGCCAGGAACTGTTGGCCACTTTCATTATACGCAACCATACGCATTTGGTAATCACTAAGGTGTGAGCGCATCTTTGGTGGAAGTGGAACTGTATCGAAATACAGCGATTCAGCGACCCCTCTGTCCCCTTTTGGCTCCGCCACTGTCTCGGAACTTATCTCTTCAAGAGAAGAGAACACAAAAAGTCTTATTCAAAAACTATGGTAACATCACAGAATGCAACATATGTCATTTTAATGGGACGTATGGCATATCGAGGCCTGGGATTTTTGATTATTGAGTTTAAAGGGGCAGCGAGAGAAGAGAACATAAAATCTTAAAAAAAAAAACTGCGGTTAAATCACAGAATGGAACGCTATGCATATAAGGGCTTGGGAATAAACTGTGTTATCATTCTTTATTTCAGATCGGAGTTACTAGAATTGTTATTAAACCAAGCTTCCAAGAGTCCTGAAGATGTTAAACACACGCCACCAGAATTCAACTCCGGTAAGAGAAACTTCTACTTTGAACAATCGACAGCTCGAATTGAAATAGGGTCCTTCTATCACAGATTTGGGTATCACTTGCTTGGTTAAATCAAGCACTGTGGATTTTTATCTCTCTCGGGGTGTGAAAAGGTCATCTTCACTCATTATTCCAGTCGACCCAGCTGTACATTGGTATGGATAATTCGGGAAAGATTAATGCCAAGAGGTTTGACCAAGGACCAGCTGGATCCGAAATTGTGAACCTAAAAATAATGCATAATTCTGAGGGAATATATTTTTGGTCCAATATAGTTTTGTTGTACACACTGTTTCAAGAATTTACATCGCAATTTTCAGGTAAACTGTAAATTGTTGAAACGTTGTGTACAATAGAACTCAGGAGTAGTATACCATAAAATTGTGTTCCGTTAGATATACATGTTCTATTACATGACAAGATAATGAAATTTCCCAAATCACACAAGATAGATATCAGAAAATGTAAAGCATTTGTAATTGGTCTAGAGCAATACGAAATTCTACATAATTTTGGTCTGATATTAATTCAAAGACGGGCAGACGATTTATAGTTTAATCTAAAACAAATTTAAACATGATATAGTATGATCTTTCACCCGAACATAATGTAAGATTTGGCATCGTGGACAGTCTGGGGACTAACAATTGAAGTCGTAGGAAGAATTGTTTTTAGGTTATTTAATCAGATGAATCAGGTTGAAAAGATACTAATCTACAGACCACAGAGTCAGCCTTAAAGTTTTTTCTAAGCTTTTGTTACAAAAAAGATTAAGTGAGAATGGAAATGAAAGATGTGTGTCGTTCGTCTAAACCATCTCCTTTTTAATATTTCAATTTCATAGATTAGATAAATTACAAAAAAAAACATCTGATTTGATTTTAGTTAAAACCTCGGTAAATATCGTCTAGGAGCAACGATGGTAGAGTCTCGAGAAAAGGCGAGTCGTCATTTTAACATTTAAAGGCAGATAATTCTAGACACACAAAGATTTGAACTCTCAAATTTCGACAGTGAGCTGTGAACACTATTACTGATTGACTTTGCTGAAATATTTCCGTTTCTGAGGATAAGATACGATTGGTCAAAAAAATGGTGCATCTGTCCCTTTAAGTATTGTCTGGGGAGAATCCGCCTTTAAAAACATCTCGAGAAAACGTAATTGGACGAGATGTTTAGAAGAAGAAATTTGTCGAAGAAGATTATTTCAAACAGTCAATTTTGATTGTAGTTGATGAGTTTTAAATCAACAAAGCCTGAGAGACAGACGTTTTCATTGGATTTTATTAAATCAGGCTTTCTCACAGACGTTTTAATTGGATAAAATGTCAATTTGAAATAATTTCAAATTTTATTGTTATTTTGGTGTAATTTCATTATAAAATCTTGAGGTTTATGTGGTGAACGAATTAGATTCTCTGCTCACTTGCCAACTTAGATTTGATTTGGAATTTAGAGAGAAATTCATGTTACGCTCGATTGTTTAGTTCTGAACAAATTCTCCGTGCCGATTGTAACTTCAATCCACGGATCCTGTTACGTCATATTCAAAACTTACCCTTCTACGCTATTTATATGTATTATCTTTCTTCGCCATTTTGAATCTACAGCTTCTTTTCTGGCACATGTGGAAAGCGTTCTGAACTCTGTTCCGGCTTATTTTTATTGAACCTCCAGTTGGTTCCTTGAATCCCGAACGTGCAGACCTCACCAATCGAGCGCCTCCGGTCAATCTGCACTCAATATGTTTCCTAATCTCTAATAGCTAGACATAATTTGAAACTTTATCCTCGGGATCAGGCCTTATTCAACACCAGACTGTACTATTAGTGTTCAACAGACGTTAATAGATACCGATAATCTCAGGAACTTATTATTCTAGACACAGTTTAACTGTAAGAGCTCTCTCTGACACAAAAGGGATGAAACACTAGATCTCTTTATTCAGACGGCGGCTTTTCATTGCCTCTTGATAGCTTTACAACTGACAACAAAATGGCGGCGTGGTCTTTCTTGGTTTCCATCTAAGTTTCCGTCGTCATTGATGGTAGGGTTTTAACCCGGCTACCAATTTTCATACAAAATCATATCCGTGGATATTATGCCGTTGAAATGGCGACGTGTTTAAACGTATCTGTTTCCGCTCAAGAAATTTTCAGTTGTCGTTGATGGTAAGTTTCCAAATTGACTACAAAGTTTCTCATAACGTCATTATATGATTGAAATGGCTACGTAGTTTTTCCTGACCGTGGACTGAAATTTTAAATGTATCATTATCCAGTTACAGCAATTCGTAGCGGTCAGTGATGGATATATCCGTCGTCTTCTGTCTATAAAGTTCGTTGGATTACATTGAATTAAGAAGAAAACTGAAATTTCTTGTTGTTTGTGTGTAGCAAACGCCCCAGTATAGACTAACGTCCTTAAAAATATAATATTCTCAAATAAACGTGTTACACTTTGACCTATTACAGACATAGCAAGATATAGTTTGCTTTTTCTCTTTTTTAATGATCCAAAAGCTGTCTTAATCTCTGTCAATATTGCTAAAGATAGATAAAATAATATTTACAACCAAGTCTAGCCTAAGAATTACCATCAATCTGTTGTACCAATCAAGTCTAGCCGATATCATCCAGTAACTATAACAATACTGATTTTGTTGATCATATCTTATAAAGCCATTAAGTAACTGTAAGTAGGGAACTTAAAGGCATTGTATAGAGGTTTTCAAAACTTTTTATGTGTATAAGAGACACTGATAGCATCGATTTGTACCATTACAATTTTCAATCAGACGTCTGTGGTTTCTGTAATTCCACTAAAACTGGGCGTTCTATGACGTTATTATCTCCTAAGCCCTTATATGTAAATAGCTGCCTTTACAACCCCATTAAGTAACTAAATATAAGAGAATTAAGTGTAATTTTAGTATATTTTGGCACGAATTTTAACAATCTTGTCACATATAACAATCTAGACCATTGAGTCAAAATGACTATTGAAATAATTGGGCTTTTAGAATTACTATTGAGAATTGCACCGAGAACTAAGTACATGTATATGAAAGGGTTTTGTGTACTGAATAAAATCGCCCACGCATCAAGACATTTGTTAGTATCCGTCACATTAACATTATTATACTATTAGGAAAATGTACAGGAAAATTTTGTAAAATATATTCTTTTCACATAAAAAATACTAATACTAAACGCTGGAATTAAATCATTTCGAAAATAAAGGTTAAACCATAACAATTATTGTGTGAATGATAAATTTGCATATATCAGATATAACAATTAACTAAGCGTTATTTTTAACCAATCAAAGCGTATCAATTTGAATTCTAAATAAAATAGAAGATTGTGGGATAACGATACCTAAAGCTCAGTGGGCTCATCTCATTCTGCCTACATGTGTTTCGGATACACGAGGCTGTCAAATCGCTCTACTGTGGGTTTCGTTATCCCATAATTCCTTATTGTATCAAGAAACGGGTTCAAAATGACACGCTTTTATTGGTTTAAAATACGGTACTACCTTCGTTTAAACACTTGTTAGATTACAATTGAGACGAAACATTTCAGAGAACAATTCAAATTATAATCTGATTTTAACTCTATTGCCTACTGCCTTGTAACCAGATATAGAACCGTATCTTGTTAACCCAAATATCGAGCGGTATCCAGTCAACTGAGCTGTAATCGACCAGAAAGCTAAATTTAAGATCTGTGATTAGTTCAATATGAATTATATCTAATCATTCCAAATCACTAGACATTGTTAACATCTAACTACCTTCGTTTTATACATAACATTTCTCTTTCTTAGATATTCCTACTTAGATCATATGTACTTCGATTCACATCTTCACAATGTCAAACTTTCACGAAATTCGTCTTATACCTTGATTGCAATAGCCAATATTGTATCATCGAATGCAGCGATTTGATTGGATTGTACGCCAATGAATACATACAGACTTTAAAAATTATGGGTTATTGACTTTCTGTACAGATCTCTGATTGACTGTATCCGCTAACGTACAATCGAACCAAATGTTTGTATTTACAAACTTCCGTGATACAAAAAGGGTGACTATTGCAGTCAAGGTATAAGATGAAGTTCGTACATGCTGATATAATCTGTTTATTTTTCTAAAAACTGAGTTGAATATTAGATGTTTTCTTTATTTTCGTATGAGAAACACCTTTTTGATAACTGGCAAATATTGGCGAACGTTGATCGACGGTAATCAGTGAAGTTTGTAAACAGTTTTAAATTGATAAGATTTGATACAATTAGCCTTCAATTTCTCGCCTACGCCATTGTACTTTATGATTGAACGTATTAAATGCGATACCAAACAAGGTTTTCTCGTATTTCAACATTGGCACATTTGTTTTCAACTAACTTCTCTATAGTAAAGAAGCAGAGGGTCAGTCGCAACATTTGGCGGTGGAAGATTATTCATTGTGCTCTAGAACAATGACCAGATGTCGTAGACACCTTTGCTAATTCTATATGATAGTTCCAATACTCTGGGCTAATTAGTGGATTCAAAGTGATGCAAATGGTTGCAAATTAATTCTTCTGTCCTTAGGTATACCGCAACGCTGTTGTCACATTAAACTAGAAACTCGTAAGACCTAAGAATTCCAACCTAATCTTGCTAATTTTGATTGATTACAATTTTTTGTATAATTCCAGATAAATCGACGAATATTGAAGTATTACTGTATGTGGACAGTATAGATAGTATCAATGAGGCTCGAATGGTAAGTACGAACTGCGTCTAATACCTTGACTGCATCTTCACAATTTCAGGCCATTACCAATAATTATATATCCTTGACTGCAATAGCCACCTTTCTTGTATCATGGAAGTTTGTAATTGCTGAGATTTGATTGAACTGTAAGTTAGCGAACAAAGCAAACCATAGTCCCCGAGCCAAATTGTAAACAGTCTTTCTGCTAATGCAGTCAAGGTCTAAGACGCAGTTCGTAATAGCTTGATATTGTGATAAAGGTCATAGTGGCTGATTTGAATATTAGAATTCCCCATGGTTCAAACAAACAAATATTTCTCAAAGCAAATTATTCAAGTCAGGGAAAGTAACTCGTAATAAATTGAGGCGATGGGTGCAGAAGACCACATTCTTTCGTTTCGCCAACAAAAGAGTCTAATCTCATTTTTTTTTCTGAATTTTCCGTGTCTTATTCAATGAAATGGATCGTTTGGTATCTTGAGAAGATTAAATTTAATTCTAAAAATAGCAAAAAAGAAGACTCCAATCTGACAAGTTTATATATATATTTAAATTCAACTTTGTAGTCTGGGATCTCCAACTCGTAGATAATGGGAGGTTATAGAGACTTTAAAAAATTAAACGAGGTGGCGCCCTTCCTTAAGGAACCCTCACACCATAGTGATTATCAGTTGCGTATGGTTGCGAATAGTGAAAGTGGTCAAGAGTACCGTGCGAAACTTATGTCCGCTATTCTTATTCGCAACCATACGCAACTGGTGTAGGGGCCCCTTTATACTGTGTATTCTGCTGGTCGAATGCGCCCAATATAGGCTACCAGTATTTTGTTAAAGTAACTTTCATTAAATGACGTCATTTGCTTGGTTACATCGCACAAATGGTGGTTGTTGGTTCTAATAACGAGCGGTGTGTGTAAGTCTGGTAACAATGAATAAGTCGTTGTTCTTCATTATTCCAGTCAACCCAGCTAATAATGGGTATGGATGATAATGGAAAGATCAATCTCAAAATGTTTGAAGCTAGGACAAGCAAGGATCCTCTTGAACCCAAGTTGTTATCCTTGTAAAAAAAACATTTTTCTTTCTCTACATTATCTTAGCCACTTGAAAGTAAATTGAATTTGATTTCAATACATTTCACTTAATTGCATTTCTACGGCAATAAAATCCGATTACCCTATATTAATCTGGCAGAGAGAGACTATCAGATCAATGCAATAAACTATTCAGTGAAGCAAGGCTTTGGTAGATGTAACTCTTGATATAGTCTTCTCTAAACTGACAAGCGATATTCATAAATTGACAAGGGGTCATAAGAAGGGTCAGTTAATATGGAGCTTTAAGTATCGATCATATCAAATCGGCTACAAACTGAATTGAGATCAGAATTTGAATTTTAAACCTTGGCACCTTGCTAGTAACGATCCGACTTTGTGTTTGTAAAGTTTGACAAAATGTTTGGAAAATAGTAAATTTCTTACCTTATGCAGACAAATTTGATTCATATTCGTAAAGTTTGAAAGGATTTCTGAAGGTTTTTCTAATCGTTTGGCGCGGATCAAAGCCACTTCAATGGAGATGAGAAGAGAGACCTTGCAGGGGGTGGGTTCGCTGAGCAAATTTCCTATCTCATAAAACGATTAAGCGATGCTTGCTAAGGTGTAGAGATTTTATGCTATACTACTTCTTTTATTTTAGGCCTACACGACGTTTCGACAGTGTACATTGTCAACATCGGGTGAAAATTGACATGATAAGGTGCATGACTTAATAACAATGAAGGACTCGAACCCAAAGCACCAATTAAAAAGCATTTATGTAAATGTTTAAAAAAAACATCGACAATTTTGATATAAGATGATAAAATTTAATTCACGAGGGAATTTCTAAAACGATTAGCGCTGTTGATATTCACAATTAAAAGTATCTCGCTTATCATATAGACGGAGTCGATTTTATAATTTGATTATATTATTCCACTATGTGCCAAGGTTTTGTCAACTTTCATCGTGAAAGAAAACCTCGCTGAAGACTTTCTGAAGATGGAGGAAAACATTACGAATTTGTCTATTTTCTCCATTAAATCATAATTTTGTTTTAAAAGAGCATGGAACTGGAATCGCCGTAAAGTGTATATCAAATACCATGCAGTTATCAAAGGAGGCTTCTGACTATGAGCTTCCACAGAGCAGTCGCATTTTGAATTTCATCTTCATCCGCCACAATGTAGGTAACTGTCCTGCTAAGTAGACGTTAACTCTTGGCAATTGAATGTAAAATATATATATTTAAAATTCAGTTATTCTAAAAGCATCGACGACTTATTATAAATTTAATGGCAATAATCAGAAGAAGAAAAAAACGTCTCAAGGTCAAACTTTTTTTTGGTGAAAATTCCATTTCAGCTTAATTGAATTCGCCAGTCATGGTGTCTCCGGTGATATTCTATTTTCCTAATGATTATCCGGTATCACTAAGGCTATTGATAAATTCAACCGTCTCCCAGGGGAAATTTTAACTTAATTTAGCTTTCAATTCATTCTGTCGTCGATAGAGAAATAAGTATGATATATTTCCACCCACTTTAATGGGTATTCGGTTTTTAAGGATTAAAGCGAGTAGAGTGGGGATGGGGGGCTCACGTGAGATGTTACGTCTGCCTGATTCTAGCAGGCCAGCACCTGTGCCATTCTTGTTAGCTGTGCAACGCATTGTGAGGAACTGACATCAATCACAAACCACACCATGGAAGACCAAATTGGGATACTACAAAGGATTTATTGAAAGGGACCAAAGTTAATGCATTTGGTCTGCTGTATGAAAATCTTTTTTTTAATTCCTGTTGGGTTGGTTTGCTAGTTAGGACTTAATTCCTACCCCATTCTGGTAAAACATTATAATATGAATGTTACTGAATATACATTTGATGGTCAATTCTGTACTTCCGGTTGGGTGGGTTTGGTAGTTAGGCATTGATACCTACCCTATTGTGAAAAAAGAGGTGAAGTAGTTACTAAATATGATTCATGATGGTTAATTGTTTACTTCCGGTTGGGTTGGTTTGCGAGTTAGGTTTTAATACCTACCCCGTAGTGAGGAAACATTATATAGGTGTTACTTGTTGTTTTTTTATGACGGTCGGAGTCACCGAATCCTCTTTAGCAATAATCATACCAATAGCGAAATTAGAGCCCTGGCATCAGATTGCAAAGCAGCTCAGGAATATCAAGGCTGCCCATAGTCCTAGAATACATGTTCTATCTGAAGTCGATACAATTTTCTTTGAAGGTGCTAATTAGTAAAATAAATTGAATAATTTCGTGATAAATATCAAAGATTTCTATCTGAGAAACGTGTTGTATTCAAATGTCAATACAACCCTTACTATAATTCCTAAATGTCAATTTGACTGTTTCTTGTTTTAAAGGCCACTCGTGATTCAAGATAGAAAACAAACAGTAGATTTGTATAAGGATAAAAATATAAGTACTCAAGGATCCTTTCTACCAGCTGATCCTTGGCTAAATCTCTAAGTATAGATCTTTTGGATTATCAATTCTCATATACAGTTGGGTCGACTGGAATTATGAGTGAAGATGACTTATTCAAGGTCATCGGACTATCACACACCGGTCGAGTTTAACGAAACCAACAATTTCACGTCATGTGAATATTCTGCTTTATCTTTCAGGATTTTACAGTCAGTATTCTGTTGCATCTTCAATGGACAGATAAGCGATTGGTTCCCTTCAACGTTCATAAGCTGTTTGGCAACTTGACGTTTCTGGAGATAGATTCCACCAATAGTAAACGAATCTGGGTCCCTGATATTTTCTTTCCCAACGAAAAGAAGGCATCATTTCATGATGTGATGATGGCTAACCAGATGATGAGACTGTACCCCTCAGGAAAAATTGTTTATATTTCCCGGTAAGCGATTGGTAGTGCTATGGGCCCCAACTGGACTTCTAAAAAATAAGTATCACGGGTGTAGTGGCGGCGCTAGACCCTCCTGAAAACCCAACCCTGACAGTCTGCCTCTATCTGCACCCCCAGCACAACGAGGCTGGCACATCCACTACATAAGAATAACACGACCAATCGTGTTCGATGGGGAAAGAGGCTCGCCCTGCTTCGCTCTCTTCTATACACTAACATACTGAAAACGAATATTCTAACAAATATCTGATTATTATTTTCAGGTTATCCATGACTCTAAGTTGTCCCATGAATCTCAGAAATTATCCATTTGATAAACAGAGATGCAGCGTGGAGATTATGAGTTGTAAGTAGATGGACTGTTCAGCCAATAAGAGCATTAGATCTTCATGATTCAATCCTGACGTCATTTGCTTGGATACGTCGAAAAATGGTGGTAGTGGTTTTTTTTAATTTTTTCTGGTAATGAAAGGGTTAATCTCGATTGGGTCATTTATTCTCATGATTCCAGTCGACCCAGCTGTAACTGATTATGGATCATTCCAAGAGGAACGACAGCGGACCAGAATCCCCGACAACTTAAATTAACATCTTGATGATATTGGATAGACCAATCAGATGAAAGGGAAACCAAAATTAATCCTAACCTATTTTAGCCTTCACACCCTTGGAGCAATCACGTGGACCATTCACACCCCCGCATTTGCAGCATTTGGTGATGTGGGGTGCTCTCTCAACTCAAAATAGATTTTTCTCCTACATCAGTTGACCACACCCCTGACACCCTAGTCTCACACCCCGGGTTGGGAATCCGGAATCTAAGGTTAAGTGTTTAAGAAAGAGATCCCAGCTCACAAGAAATATCGTCCGAAACGAACCTGTCTTATAAAGTACCATTTTATAATTCCAGTTGGTTATACGGAAGATAAGTTACAACTAACATGGATTAACGCCAGTAAACCTTTAGAACCTGTGTCTGTTAATACGTATGTTGAACTACCACAGTTTGAGGTGACGGGGTATGGACCTGGAGCTTGTCAAAGATCGTACCATAGAACAGGTAATATACACGCCTCTGTGGGACGCGCCTATTATAGCCCAATCTTGTTGAAATTCGTTTAGTTTTCTACTCCATTGTAATCGAACAAGTTTTCTACCGCTGTTTTATTTTAATGACGTTATTTGTAACCAATCAAAGCTTGTCATCTAGAAGTAGTTCAGTTTAACGATGGCAAATTGTAGGATACCCAGTGTAGAGCAATGATAGCTGCAATAATTTGTTTCAGGATTATTGGCAGGACCCTAGCCCGTAATTGGTAACTCGCTTTCACATATCGAAGCTAATTTCAACCATCCTTGTTCTTCTTTTGTTTACAGGAAACCAGAGTTGTTTACAAGCTAATTTCTACCTGGAAAGAAATATCGGATATTATGTGGTGCAGATGTACATACCCAGTGTTCTAATCGTCATGTTGTCTTGGATATCATTCTGGTTAACAGTGAACAGTGTCCCTGGTCGGATCTCACTAGGCGTATTGACTGTCTTGACAATGACTACTCAGAGCACTGGAGTAAACAACGCTCTGCCCAGAGTCTCCTATACTAAAGCTATCGATGTCTGGATGTCTACCTGTCTGGTCTTTGTGTTCTCGGCTCTGTTGGAATTCGCTGTGGTCAATGTTTTATCCAGAAAAGATGATTTAAATGAGTTTTCGTTACGTGGTGTTTTTACTATTCCAAAAGATTTAGAAAACGGAGAGGTAAGAGATTCGTTGGGTTGCTCGGAGCATCCGTTGGGTTGCTTGGATGGTTTGGTAAGATGGAGCATCCGTTCGATTACATAGAGCATCCGTTTGGTTACGTGGAGCATTGGTTAGGTGGCTCGGAGCACCCGTTGGGTTACGTGGAGCATCCGTTGTGTGGCTCGGAGCACCCGTTGGGTTACGAGGAGCAGCCGTTGGGTTACTTGGGACATCTTGGTAGGGAGGGGTGGATATATAAGTCAGATTTGGCGATTCCGGAGTTCTATAGAAAGATTCGTCTGCTGACATCGTATGCATCGGTACGATCGGATACGACATTCCTAAATGGTATTCTTAATACACTGAAAACACGTAAAACTCCATTAGGCTTCGTAGGCCTGCAGTTGTGTTTCTGTGGAGTTAAGGGTAGCCATGCACATATTCCTTCAGAACTAAGGCTTCTCAGGCACCCACCACCCCCCTTTGAAGATTTTATGGCCCATCTCCTAACGTCATTGATGGTATTCCAGAAACCGTCGCATTAGTTATCGCTACTACGGTACAATGTTATTTTCTCTATTGCAGGTGTCAGTGCCATTAGATCCTTACTCTGATCCTAAACCAGTACGACGTGGGATCGTATACGCAATGTATTTAGACGTAGCTTCGCGGATCATATTCCCAAGTATATTTATCCTGTTTATAATATGTTATTGGGCGTATTACATCATGCAATAATAAAGAATGGTGATATGGATCAACTGTGAACCGGTGGACTCTTTGGTTAATTTATAAATGCTGTTTGTGAAAATGGAATTTTGAATGAATGCGTACAAAGCCGTTATGAATCGGTTTTGTTAAATTTTGGATTTTCTTAATAGATTTTATATATATGCAGTGTATATAATTAGCAGTCTTTTGGCTGAAAAATTCACTATGTTTTAGCGTTATTTTTCAATTTTTAAATGAAATCGCACCTAAATCTTAGAACCCTGGTTCCCAACCTAGGATGTATTCACCCCCTGGGGGTGTAAGACTTGGGTGTCAGGGGTGTGGCCAAGTGGTGTAGGAGACGAATTTGTTTTGAATTGAGAGAACACCTCACATCATCAAATGCTGAAAATGTGGATGAAACAAATTTTTGGGGTGTGAAAGGTCCACGCGATTGCTACAGGGGTGTGAAGGCTGAAATAGGTTGGTAACCACTGTCTTAGAGGATATTGTTGCATTGATTTTGGGGTGATCGGATTACCCTTCTGGAACACCTAATGTCACTCTGATTCTGGGTTTGTCAACTCGGTATCCCTTTCGGAGAGTCCACATTTCTAATACTATTTATCTGGTGTATTTCTTTCGAATACTTGTATATATAAAATACACTGCAATGTGATATAGTCCGAATCGGAATATTACTATTTGGTGTATTCGAATAAACGGATCAAAATACGTTTCACTCAAATTATCGGATAATGGATTAATTGTGCAATATAATTTGGACAACCGGATCGGATAACCGCCTATTATTATGTCAGAATAACCTAATACAATTGCATGCGATGTGTTATATTTTAAGGATGCAACATACCACCGAATGATCGTTTACAGCGTATAAGAACTTTCATAGGATATTTTAAGCTTAACGTAATAGTATCCGGTAAAAATCTGAAGATCGGATATTATATTTGAAGAACACCACTAAAGAAATTTTCTTCTGATTATGTCATTATGTGATTTTGTATCCGGTTACGAATTTTTCAACGGATTATGTAATTATAATATAAATACTACAATGTAAAGTATCCGGTTAATGATCCAAATAACGGATATTATGATAATTATTATATATAAATGGTATACCATACATCATACAGTCGGATTTAAGGATTTTCATCGGCTATTATTCGTTAATATGCAGAGGATATGCCATACATCAAACAATCGGATTTTCGACGGCTATTATTCGTTAATCCGAGTAACGGATCTTATGATTATTAATATGTGAATTGTATTTCCTTAGTTCGGATAACGAGGTTTGGAATGTATATATTTTGTATTATTAACTATTTTATTATCTCACCGTTTATTACTGTTCACTCCGATGTTTTAGTCGCTGTTTGGAATCGCAATGTACATTGACACATTCAGTCAAAAATTGTATTTAGATCATTAATTTAGTCATCTTCCGCTAAAGCCATTATAGAACTATAAGTGGAAGTTATGAAAAAAACCGTTATTTCAATATAGAGTTAGATACTTTTAATTTTGAACACTCTACCTTTAAAAGTTTAAGAAATATTAAAAGGTCATAATAAATGTGCATCCATTCATTGACAACAAAGGACCTTTTTTGAACATATGACCTTTCTGGTTTGAGGTTTTTTTCCTCTTTCTTGGAAAGTAAATTTCAAGAAAAAAGTCAGTTATGACCTTTTAGTTCTATATTGACTACAGCTCATCTGATGCTGCTGACTCGTGTTTTGGATAAACAGTCCTCATCAGGGCGGCTTTATTACAAATGAGATTAACTTTTTAAGATTGGACTTTGGGCATTGTAAGCGAACTCAAAACTATGTATAAAGTCATCATCCGCAGAAACCATTGTAAAATAAAGTTTCTAGGAATATAGCTTCTGACAGGTGTTTTGGATAAAAGGACAGCTTTATTGGAAATGTGGTTAACTTTCCAAGAATGGATTTAGGCGTATGGGCGCCAACTCTAATAAGATCGAATGATGTACACCTTTCTCTGAATTCCTAGTATTAACACTTCAGTTCATACCTTCGTTTCATGTAAAATAGCATCTTCACAATGTCAAGATATTGCGAGGACCGTTTAATACCTTGACGTCAATAGGCTATTTCCTTGTATCACATAGCTGTATTTACCAATTTCTGGGATACAAGAAATAATGTGCCCAATGTCAAGGTATTAGACGGAGTTCATTATACCTTGATATAAAGATGGTTGGATAGGAAATGTACTGTTGTGTTATTGAGCATCTGGGGTTGAATTGCACCTATTTTGAATAAAATTGTAGTTTAAAACGTTAGATTATTGCAAATAAACGATGTGTACATATTTCTAATATAACATCTTCATAAAGTTGGAGTTTATATTTTTAAAAGTGAGCGATACCGGACGGACGAGTCTAAATTTTTTATTTATAACGGGGGCACTGATTTGTACCTTTCCAATTTTCAGTCACATGTGTGTGGTTCTTGTGATCCCACTAAACCTTAATGTTTTATGACGTGGTCATTGCAAAGGTCCTTAGATAGTATAAGCAGAGTTTACCAGGACATCTTACACGGTTAAACAAGCCTCTTATTACAAGAACCACAGACATCTGACAGAAAAATATATGACACCAATGAACATAAAAAAACCCCAAAAAACCAATATGTTGGTTTCTAAGCCACATATATAGCTTTACTTATAAATTTTAGCATCTTTGTAATCTATCGAATCGAAAATATCTGAATTATCAATACGGAGTAACCGATTTTTTTAATTGCCAATCCCAAATCTTTAGAAAGCTTATCATAAAAATTATATTATTAATTAATCGATTGCCTCCCCTTATTAATTCCAGGTGAACTACGCAAATTTGTGCAAATTTGTTTAATTAAAATTTTTCCAGTGCATTGGCAGATTCTTCGACTGTTTTCACTTAAAATCAATCAAAGAGGACGAAGTTCACTTCGCTTGAAGAAATCTTATAGAAATTTAAAATTAAAAATCGGAATAGATGCATCATGGCAATACTTATCTAATATATCAAAATTCGTTTCCATGGTAACGTTAAAAACGTCATTAAGGTCGAAATTTATCTGATATTTTAGACTAAATCTCTCTCCAGATTTCGCTTTGTGTTTATAATTTCTTATCGTTTCATTCAACTTCTAGGGGTTATTGAATTTATGTTAGATTCTGGGTCGATGAACTGTAATAGATGTAGATATGGGGATTATTGGTATTGAAAAATTTGTCTAGTCTAAAAATTCAGCTCTTAAAGAGAGTTTTTTTCTAAACTTTTTATGTATATCGGGGATATTGATAGCTTCGATTTTCACCTTCCAATTTTTAATCAGACGTCTATGGTTCCTGCAATCCCACTAACATAAAACGTTTTATGACATCATTGTCGTAAAATCTGATAATATCTCAGGAATTAGCAATAATGACGTCATTCAATAGTATATGCAAAGTTCATTTAACTCATCCTCTCATTGGGTATCCAGCTTATTTTGACGTAAGCCAAGGGCAATAACTCAGCTACCGTTGATCCAAATATCGTTAACTTAAAGCAATCTTGAATCTCCACAATCTACATTGCAGGTAAAATATCAAGCCTCATCTTATCAAACCCTTAAAATATAGACAGTTAGAAAACCTTTCATTAATATATGGCTCACCTTGACCCAGTTCCCCAAAAAAATCTTACTATAAGAATTTGTCGCTACAAACTGACCCAAAACTATATCTGTGATACCCCTACCCCTCTTACGAAAAGAATTTGTCGTTAAGTGTGGAATTTTATATTGAGAATTACTATACTTATGTACGACTAATTTTTCGAAAGAATTTTTGTGGAACGAGACCCTTGTATTTGAAGGGAGGCAACTCATATTTCCAAAGGCATTGTCAGGTTTTTGACTTCAAAAGTATTGCTGTATTTGCAATATCAGAATGACTAATTATTCGGTTGTAGAATGGGGGTGGGGCGGTGGCTTGGTCCAAGGACAATAAAGATACATAACTGAACATATAATTTAATAATGATTAAAAATAAAACTTGTAGGATATAATAGAGAAACACAAATCAGAAATAAAACATTCATTTTAAACATAAATTCATTGAAACACAATTTAAAATTTTAATAAATATCATTCTAAAATATATATTTAGGTAACCCATAGAAAAAAACCCAAAAATATCTAGTGCCTTCTTTCAATTAAATGGGTTAGGGGCGAAATATTTAACAGGGGGGCCTCAGTTGTGGGCCTGCAAAGGGCTCTTCATTCCCCACATACAATACAATCATTCCAAATAAATTCCAAATAAAAATTCCATACAACATGGCTGCCAGGTTGAATACTTAAACATGTTGACAGCAGATAAGCTCAGGTCAAATGTTCAAAAGCTTGACCTTTGACCACGACCATCAATGACACACTCGTTTAAGGTTTAGGGTAGATAACTCTAAATGTCAAGTTAATTCGTGGTCCTCTGTCGTGATATTCTTTGGGTATTCGATGCTGTAAGGGAAATATTCAATATTCTAGAAAAAAAATTTCAATGTACACATGTCCTGCATTCAATCATACTTTTGTCATACACTCCACAATAAGTATCAACCTACCTGCCAATCATCTTGTGTCCTGCCCTCGAAAGCAAGTAACAACCTACCTGCCAATCATCTTGTCTCCCGCCCTCGAAAACAAGTAACAACCTACCTGCCAATCATCTTGTGTTCCGCCCTCGAAAACAAGTAACAGCCTACCTACCAATCATCTTGTGTCCCGCCCCCTAAAAAAAGTAACCTACCTTCCAATCATCTTGTGTCCCGCCATCGAAAACAAGTAACAATCTACCTGCCAATCATTGTGTATCCAAACTCCAAAACAAGTAACAACCTACCTGCCAATCATCTTGTGTCCCGCCCCCTAAAACAAGTAACTTACCTTCCAATCATCTTGTGTCCTGCCCTCGAAAACAAGTAACAACCTACCTGCCAATCATTTTGTGTCCCGCCCCCTAAAACAAGTAACTTACCTTCCAATCATCTTGTGTCCTGCCCTCAAAAACAAGTAACAACCTACCTGCCAATCATTGTGTATCCAACCTCCAAAACAAGTAACAACTTACCTGCCAATCATCTTGTGTCCCACCCTCCATAATAAGCAATGAACCATGAGTTAAAGGCATTCGCACTATTTGACTAAATGTATAATCTCCAGTATTCTAAAATAGAGAAAAATAAAGAGAGTTTTTCCACGGCTGTAACTACATCAAGGCAAATGAAATTTTGCTTTAAAAGTATGAATGGGATATTCTGTAAATATATATTAGTTATTTGGCGTCCATGGTAAAGATGGTACCGTTTGAAATCTGCTGCTGCTATGAAAGACATAATTGACTTCAAAGACAACAGGATTCTGCCTCATAATTAAAAAAAACAGCATCCTGTTTAGAGAGTTCACATTGGTTTGGTTTATTGTATATATGGTTGTATATGTAACATGAAATTTTGTGATAAAAATAACAAATTGGATATTTTCGACATCATAAACGTTAATGATGCTGAATTATACGGTACTATTTGAATTATTAGTTGCTTCTACTTACTGGTACAGGTTTCTGACGAAGTTCAAAATTTCTGACGTCACCTAATGAAACAGAGGCTATGATTGGCTGAGGTCCGAGTTCAGGTTCGTCATCACAATGCCATTCTACTCCATCTTTGTCGTCACGATACAGGTTGCCTAGCAACGAATTAAACTTATACCCAGTTAAATCTTCTATTTTATCCTTTAATGTAGGTAATGGTGGTATCCACTGCAATATACAAAAGTATTTTTTTTCAAGAATTTATTCATCTTTACTGAATTCAGTTTGACCATAATATAACAAGCAACTAAGCATTTTCTTTAGCAAACACCAAGAAAGGTCAAGAGCTAATTGCAGGCCTATTTCATGTTCCCCAAAAAGATAGAAATGATTGTTGCATTGTGCAGAGTCAGGGATTATAACTAATGTTTATTTCCTTTTAATTGTCATTTCAATCTTCAAAAAATAGTTCCCTTGTCCTACAAACTGACCCAAAACTATATCTGTGATACCCCTACCCCTCTCCCCCCTTCGACCCATTCCCTCAAAAGATGTGTCCCCCTCTGTTTGCAAAACGGATCACCGCCCCTGTCTGTAGCGCAGTTGGTTAGAGTGCTGGAACCATCATGTGACATCATTGGCTTGATTTTGTCAACAAATGGTGGTCATAGGTTCATAAAACAGTCGGTGTGAAATCTTGTGACCTTCAATGAGTCAATTTTCCTCATTATTGATTCCAGTTGACCCAGCTGTACGGAAACGGCTCTTAATTATACAGCAGGTAATAATCTAAATTACTGCTATTTTCATAGGGTAATAAAAAAAAAACAAAATATGTCAATAAATAAATTAAGTGTTAACAATCCAAACTGCAAAACGAAACCCTAAATCCAAACAACATATTGGTGAAACATTAGTAGCAGCTAATGAACTAAGGAAGTATATCAATCACATGTGAGGAAGTATTTCATTATGAAAACAATAAACTTACACTAGGGTCTGCAGGATGAACTATACCCGAATATGAGTAAGGGAGATCACCCACCCACGCTGTTAACCTGTCATTTAGATGGGTGACACCATTTTTAACATAACTGTTTTGTTTCCATGGTAACCCTTGATACAGCATGTCGTAATATTTATTGGCATCTGATTGGTTGATGAAATTAGGGAAGAATCGTAACCTAAAAGAGATATTTTACAAACCTTGCTTAAATGCAACTCTATAATTCTGCAAGAACCTTGCTTTCCGAGACTGGGGGTACAAATAGGAGGCAGACTGACTCAATGGGGGGACAACTGCTGAGGCTGAATTCAAATTTTGGCTACCCAGTAGTGGTGTCATAGTTGCATACCTCACATAGAGCGTCTTACAGGGTTCTCTCAAGAAAATTTTGTGCATTCTGACACATATTTTGGAGAAAAAAGGTAGACATTTAGATTTGTTGCAAATAAAGTGAGGGTACAATTGGGGGTGCAAACCACTTATCTAGGATGGCAAAAGCCCCCCCCCCCCCCCCCTGTGCCACCACTGGCCTATAGAATAGTTAAATTAAATAATACTGACCTGGAAATACCTGATGGTCCATCACTGATATCATAAACACCCCCTTTGCTGAAATAGAATAGATACATGTTAATGATGCTGAAGGAGAGGCAGAAACCAAGATTTAATAAAAGGATTGTTGTTGATTGTTGTCAATCAAATGTTGAGTGATGGCACAGTGTTTAAATGGATGACAGGTTGCTGTTCACAATGAATATTGACCACTCATACACGTTTGACTGTAAAATCTAAAAAAGGCATCAATCTTCTTTGTGGTACCATCTTCGAAAATTTGTCACAGTTTTTTTCAAATACTAATTCGCCTTATTAGTAAACGCAAGTTCGTGATAGCTTGACATTGACACAAAACATTGACAATGTATTTTTTTCAACTGACCAAATCTGTCGTCTGGCGGGCCTGACATAAATCTGATTTTATTTTTTCAGTAAAGAAACAGCAGATCTAGCACATATTTACTAGTCCTGTCCTAGTCGTTGTTCCAATAAATGATCAAAATTTTATGACAATAGGCTGAGACATAGTGGTAGACTGCTTGTAGACGAGATTATCCAAGACAGATGAGTTCCAAGTCTGGTTGGTTCCTAATTTGGACAATAGTTGTTGTTGATTGTTGTCAATCAAATGTTGAGTGATGGCACAGTGTTTAAATGGATGACAGGTTGCTGTTCACAATGAATATTGACCACTCATACACGTTTGACTGTAAAATCTAAAAAAGGCATCAATCTTCTTTGTGGTACCATCTTCGAAAATTTGTCACAGTTTTTTTCAAATATGCTTGCCATGAATGCCTTAATAGGTGTGTAAGGCAGAGGAGGGAGAAATTCATTCAAACTATCACAATAAAAGACTTTTTGCTTAAGTAAATTCTCTAATCTTAATCCTATAATCTATATACGTACTGAATAGTGATATCAGCTGGCTTCTGTTTCAAATCCTGCAAAATAAAACCAAAATACCATCTTAAATTCTCAGACGCAGAATAAAATTACCTAAAAGCTCCTTACCATTTCCATGGTACCCCTTGTACCACATTAGTTCAAAAGGGGAATATATTTCGACCAAAAGTTGTGAAACTTGCAAATAGACATTTGAATTACAGTAATGATCAAATACAACTAGTCTAAATAGTTCATGAGAATGAGTCCTCCATGGTGGGCCTACCCCTTTAGCTTTCGCTGCTAGCCTGCTACACCCATGTGGAAGTAATACTCAAGATTGGGAACCAAGGCTTCTCATTGACTGTGTTGGGGATATTCGGTCGTCATTCGACTCATCTACAAAACAATTATTGTAATAAAGAGGTTATTGAGTCGACTCTGTAGAGAGTTGACGAATTCTCAAAAACCAATTTTGTCGAGGAGCCGGTTGGTATTCTATCTAGATCTTCCTCACCTCCTCATCAGGCTGTTGATACAGAAATTGTGGAGTCGCAGAAACTTGATCAATATTTTTACTGGTCCAGACTGGAACATTAGGGGGCTTAACTCTATCCTTATCAGATCTTGCTGTTTGTTTCTTAGGAGCTGCCCAGCCACCTTGGACTCTGGATCTTTTTTGTTTTGTGTTCATATTGGCTCAATCTAAAATATGATTCAAAATCCTGTTTTATGGGGATTTTTCACAGCTCCAAAGACATTTACTTACGGTACTTTAAATTCACTGAACCATAGCCTAATATTTCGGACTATAGCACTCCATACAACAGATCAGTGGCAATCAACATTTCAACTCTCTGACCACAATGAGTACAGAACTTTTTCTCTCATTTCACAAATATTCAAAATATAACTTTCAATTGCGTGTCATTGTCAATATGACTATATTTAAACACACTCCCAGAAATTTTCGGTGAAAAAGACCCAAATTCAATTAAAAAATTCGCTTTTGTTTCTGTTTTGGGCAAACTGATATAAAAGCAAAACAAACGTCCAATTATCTCAAAATTTGAAAGGAATTATCAAAAGATACCTTGTTTTATGTTTGTGTTTACACGAAATTGTTTACATCGGAAGTGCTTTCAGAGTTATCTGCTCATTTATCAAAATTAACTGTAGCCTTAAAGTTTTTTTTTAGATAATTATTTCCCTTTGACCGTAAAAGAAAATGTCAGTTCGTTTCATGCACGGTAGAGAATTTAATCTTTATCTATGATGTATTTTTATTGAAAAAACTAACTGATTCTGGTTTTTTATTTGATTTATGATGAAATAATTGAATTTTGAAATTTACATGAATCAAAGATTTGGCATTAATCGGAAAGAATTTTGTGCAAGTTCGATCAGTTCAGCTAGGAAATTTAGGGAAATTCCCCTTTAGCCATTTCATCGGGACTTGGCTAAAAATTTAACAGAAACAACTTACGGATTGGGCTAACCTGAAGTAAGGAGTGTGCCATATTATCTCCGTATTTTCTTGGGTAAATATGATTTTACTCTGTATGTTTTTGTATCAAAGTAAGAGCCGAGGGGACACGATGTTTAGCCCTATTAAAAAAAATCCAGTGACAGTGATCTTAATCAAAAATAACATCCAATGGAAATAGGGCCACACTGGTCCATTAATAGATCTACATACTATTATCATTTTGAAAATATTATTACAGACATTGTCAAGAGGATTTCTTAACTTTTTATGAGTAGGGCTAATGGGGGACACTAACAGCATTGATTTGCATCATTCCAATTTTGTAGAGTACAGCAAAAAGATTTGTTTACATCTTCACAATGTCAACTTTACTTTGTAACTTTACTACAATAGCCACTATTCTTGTATCATGGAAAACAGCGATTTGATTGGATTGTAGGCCTACGTCAGTGAATACAGCCAATCAGATCCCTTATTAGTAAACGCAAGTTCGTGATAGCTTGACATTGACACAAAACATTGACAATGTATTTTTTTCAACTGACCAAATCTGTCGTCTGGCGGGCCTGACATAAATCTGATTTTATTTTTTCAGTAAAGAAACAGCAGATCTAGCACATATTTACTAGTCCTGTCCTAGTCGTTGTTCCAATAAATGATCAAAATTTTATGACAATAGGCTGAGACATAGTGGTAGACTGCTTGTAGACGAGATTATCCAAGACAGATGAGTTCCAAGTCTGGTTGGACAATAGTTATCATTTGGGTTAGTTCAACGTATTTTAATTTTATACATTCCATACGGTAATCAATGGCGGCAGCACCAGCCTTACAAAACTGGGGTAAAAATAGGAGGCAGACTCACTCCATTAGGAGACTACTGCTGTGACTCAAGTCAAAATGCAGCAACTTTGTGGAGGCGTCATATTCAGAAGCCTGCCATGAAATCTCTGAAAGTGGTCTCTATAGAGATTTTTCGAAAAATTGAATTAATTTGGTGTATTCTGACATATATATACTTTTTAATTTGTTAAAGAATTAAGTAGGGGGTGCAAACTATTTTCTAGGGGGGGCAAATGGCAACAACACCCAACCTCCCCACACCTTGTATCCAATACATATCGTATGGTGGCAGGTGATTAAAGACAGCTAGAGCCTAATCCTCAATGTACTTTTTTTGTCCTGGGCTGAAAATTGGTTCTCTTCTTTTCAGCTGTATTTCGGGACATCACAGGTTAACACTTGTGGCAAATTGTAAGTTTTTAACACCTATATGATTAAAAACAGGAGTCTGTTGGACAAAAACTTTATTTAAGATGATTTTAGTGTTCAAGTCATCTCATTGGACAATCACCAAAATTAATTATTAGAATGCTAAGAAATGCAGCGATCTGATTGGCAAATAATTGATTTGGTGATTGTCCAATCAGATGACTTGAACACTAAAATCATCTTAAGTAAAGTTTTTGTCCAACATCAGCAGGGTTGGTTAGGGCAGGGCTGGTTAGGGCAGGGCTGGTTAGGGCAGGGCTGGTTAGGGCAGGGTGGGTTAGGGCAGGGTTGGTTAGGGTAGGGTTGGTTAGGGCAGGGCAGGGTTGGTTAGGGCAGGGTTGGTTAGGGCAGGGCTGATTAGGGCAGAGAAGTTTATACCAGTCGTTTACACACTTATGAATATTAATTATGATTTATCTGACCATTTTCCCTCTTACGCTGTATGGTGTTCCACGTCTCCATTAGCCCAATTGGGTGCAGAAGACACGAGTAGAAGTAAAACTCCATTCATTTCATTTATCTGTTATTGATACAGATTTAATATTTTTCCAGTCAGTTCGAGGACAACACAAGACGTTGTCGTCCGTGTCGAAAGTGCCGCAAAAATATAGATGAAGTCATTAAACTGGGGCTCCATGTAGACAAGTGTATAGACACTGCCAACCCCACACCAGAGTGGTTAGATGGTATTTATTATTGCCAAGGTATCCATGATTCTTGGCCAGGTTAGTTTTTGTTTTTCATACGGTACAATAAAAATCCAAATCCAAATCATCCAAACCGCAAATCAAAACTCAAAATCTACAATAAAAGTCTGACAAAACATTGGTAGCAGCTAATGAACATTTTCAACAATTTGAACTGGTGTTGATTATTTATATTATAAGCGAAACATTACATAATTTCCTAGTTGTTTGTAAGCAAACACAGCGAACATTTTTCCCTCAATGGGTGTCCTTTTCTTCCACACTTAAAATTGATTTACTTCCTCATGTGAAAAGTTCAATAGCTGCTACTATTGTTTTGCCAATATGTTGTTTGGATTTAGGATCGTTAGTACTTGGGTTTTTTATTTGTTTTAATTGCAGGGGAAATATACCTCAGATTTTAAGGGGTTTCCACTTTTTTGTGAATAGTTTTCATTATCAAATTCATTGTGAATTATAACTGAAAATATTTCTAAAACATGTTATGTATATCTATGTATCTTAGGGTTAATTAAAAACAGAGAGTACTAATTGTTAAGTAAGCAGTTTGACCTAGTTTTGGTGTTTGGCTATTTAATGGCTCTTTATATTGTAATAATTTTCGACCCTACAAAAAAAGCGGAATAACCCCTTAATACTGAAAAGTGTTACGTATAGCTGCAATTCTGCTTTATCTCATGTTTAAGCAATTCTCATTATTGTAATAACTGATCTCTGTTATTACAGAATGTAAAGAGTGGAATCCACAAAATGGCCACCTTTCATGCAGTAATGGCATGAGGATTGACACCAATTGTAGATTACATTGTATTAAAGATTATTATCCGTCCTTGAATGAATCTGTCACATGCACAGGGGATTTAGAATGGAACAAACCTGTACCGTATTGTGTACATATTAATGATTCCATCACCACCACACCCAAACCAGGTAAGGCTGGTCTATTTCTTTCTACCATGTTTCACTCTAGCAGGTAATATTATCTTTATGGTTTAGCAAGTCTACATGTACTGTGGTTGACTATTTCTATATCGCTCTACAATAGGGCTGAATGTGAGACAGGACCATGCCCTTGTGTATTGGACCTAATTCTGACCCATGTTATATAAAGAGTTTATGTTTCTCCTCATGGGCTGAATGTAAGACAGGACCATGTCACTTTAGTCTTCATTATTATTAATTGATGTATTGAGCACCATTGTGTTATTCAATTTTTTATTATTATATTTTTGGAACCAGAATGCCCCGTTTGGTCACCTAGTCATGGATATATCAACTGTACAAATAGTAGAGATGTTGGTAGTGTATGTACCTTATCTTGTAACGAAGGATTTGATCCGTCCCATAACCAAGGTATAACCTGCTCAAAACAACTCCAATGGGATGGCCAGCTGCCATTATGTGTTCCCGAGCCAACTACCACAACGCCAAGACCAAGTGAGTAAAGAGGATTACCTATGAAGAAAAGGGGCAGTCTGATTTTTTCAGGAGGTTGGGAAATTCAGTGCTTGAATATATGAAAACTATAGACCAAAACTAATGTACTGTTCTAGCTAAATAAATTCAGATTTTTCAACCCAATTTCCCCAGTGTCAGTGATACAGGTTGGAGGGACTCTCATAAGAAAAATTAGTCTAGTCATTCTGATAGAACAATAACCCAAGGTGATACACGCTCTGCACGTATCAGAAAACAGAAAAAAAGAGTAGGCTTATTTGCTGTCCTGGCAAATCTTCCCTCATTGCACACTGCCTGACTTCATTAGCCCAATTGTGTGCAAAAGAGTAAATGAAATAAAATGAATTGATTTTTATATCCTACCCTTCTGAACCATGTTGCAAAATTCATTTTGTTTAATTCTTTTTTTTTAAATAATTGAAATTTTTTAACAGTCATGGTTTTGATTTTTCAGCGTGCCAGCCATTGGAGGTTCTCAATGGAACTCTGTATTGTTTAGAAGACAGTTTTAGTGGTAGTGAGTGTACTGTTATATGTAATGAAGGGTTTACATTGTCTGTGAATACCACTGTTATCTGTACAGACAATTTGATTTGGAGCGATGTCCCACCATCTTGTGATGAAATTCAGAAATCACCTACACCAATTCCAAGTAAATATTTTCTCTTTTTGAGGCAGGACACCAAAACCTAGTTGCTATTGTCATTTTAAAGGGATTGTAAAGAGGTTTTTACCTGTGTCAGGGACACTGATTCCATTCCATTCCAATTTTCAATCAGATGTCTGTGGTTCCTGCGATTCCACTAAAAGTTAACATTTTATGATGTCACTATGACAAAAGCTGCTATTGATATATAAGTCTCTTTGCGTTATTGATGTCATAAAGGGCAAAGTTTAGATGGAATTACAGGAACCACAGACGACTGATTGAAAATTGGAATGATGTAAATTGATGCTATCAGTGTCCCAAAACACATAATTTTTTTTATAGAAAATAGACTAAAGCCACTGTCTTTAAAGATTTCCCTCATTGCACACTGCATCAATCAATCAATCAATTCTATTTTTCAGGATGCAATGACATAGCAGTGGAAAATGGAACTGTTTCATGTACCATGGACTTTGATGTAGGTAGCTATTGTAACGTCACATGTTCCAAAGGGTTTAATGCTACAAGCTATGAGCCCTTGTGCTGTAGACCAAACCAAACATGGAGCAACCCCCTGCCACTATGTGTTTCTTCTGTACCAGGTAAGTATAGTCCGAAAACTTGTTCCAGGTGGGGTAAAAATAATTTTGTAGTATACTCCTCTGCAGTTTTTTAATGTTCACAACATATCAACAATTGACATTGTCATCATCAATTTATATGGTATACTACTCCTTGGTTTTTTTGGAGCTATATAGCCCGTTTGGTGCAAATGCTCCTTAATGCATTTCATTTCATTTCTCTTTGGTTTTATTGTATACAAAGTTTCAACAATTTACATTGTCATCATTAGTTTATATGGTATACTACTCCTGAGTTTTATTGTACACAATGTTTAAACAATTTACATTGTCATCATCAGTTTATATAGTATACTACTCCTTAGTTTTATTGTACACAATGTTTCAACAATTTACATTGTCATCATCAGTTTATATAGTATACTACTCCTTAGTTTTATTATACACAATGTTTCAACAATTGACATTGTCATCATCAGTTTATATGGTTTACTACTCCTGAGTTTTATTATACACAATGTTTCAACAATTTACATTGTCATCATCAGTTTATATAGTATACTACTCCTTAGTTTTATTATACACAATGTTTCAACAATTGACATTGTCATCATCAGTTTATATGGTATACTACTCCTGAGTTTTATTGTACACAATGTTTAAACAATTTACATTGTCATCATCAGTTTATATAGTATACTACTCCTTAGTTTTATTGTACACAATGTTTCAACAATTGACATTGTCATCATCAGTTTATATAGTATACTACTCCTTAGTTTTATTATACACAATGTTTCAACAATTGACATTGTCATCATCAGTTTATATGGTTTACTACTCCTGAGTTTTATTGTATACAATGTTTCAACAATTTACATTGTCATCATCAGTTTATATAGTATACTACTCCTTAGTTTTATTATACACAATGTTTCAACAATTGACATTGTCATCATCAGTTTATATGGTTTACTACTCCATAGTTTTATTGTACACAATGTTTCAACAATTTACACTGTCATCATCAGTTTATATGGTTTACTACTCCTGAGTTTTATTGTACACAATGTTTCAACAATTTACATTGTCATCAGTTTATATGGTATACTACTCCTGAGTTTCATTGTACACAATGTTTCAACAATTGACATTGTCATCATCAGTTTATATGGTATACTACTCCTGAGTTTTATTGTACACAATGTTTCAACAATTAACATTGTCATCATCAGTTTATATGGTATACTACTCCTGAGTTTTATTGTACACAATGTTTCAACAATTTACATTGTCATCATCAGTTTATATAGTATACTACTCCTTAGTTTTATTGTACACAATGTTTCAACAATTGACATTGTCATCATCAGTTTATATGGTTTACTACTCCTGAGTTTTATTGTATACAATGTTTCAACAATTTACATTGTCATCATCAGTTTATATAGTATACTACTCCTTAGTTTTATTATACACAATGTTTCAACAATTGACATTGTCATCATCAGTTTATATGGTTTACTACTCCATAGTTTTATTGTACACAATGTTTCAACAATTTACACTGTCATCATCAGTTTATATGGTTTACTACTCCTGAGTTTTATTGTACACAATGTTTCAACAATTTACATTGTCATCAGTTTATATGGTATACTACTCCTGAGTTTCATTGTACACAATGTTTCAACAATTTACATTGCTATCATCAGTTGATATGGTATACTACTTCTGAGTTTTACTGTACACAATGTTTCAACAATTTACATTGTTACCATCAGGGGAAAAAATGTAAATTGTTGGAAACCTCAAAAAGTTCTGAAGGTTGAACAATCCAAACTGGTGATTGGTACGTTTTTGCAGATGGTTTCAATTTGAATATCACCTTGTCTGGCAAGCTGTCAGTTTAAGCAGAAATGAACACAATTTAATCCAGAAAAAATATTTATGTACATTTGGGTGTAATTCAACAAATAAACATGAGGAGTCCAGACTATTTTTAGGTCGTTGTTTGTTGTTATGATACAGTTTTTCAATTACTATTTGAGGACACCAAATTTTGTGGATTTGTCCTCAAAAGCCTCATAATAATAATAATGATAATGATAATAATGATAATAATAATAATAATAATAATGATAATTCTTTATTTGACAGGAAAACCAGTTTATATTCTTGAGATATAGAGATGTTGATTTCTGTATATGTTGTATAATTTCAGTTTACCCTATCACGAGTAGGCCTACTCAAGACAGTTTCATTTGGTTTATTGTTTGTGCAGTATTTGGGGCAGCATTGGTCGTTATTGTTGTATTAGCTTGTAAGTATAGATTGAGGTTCTTAATCTTCTAATGAATTCTTTGAGAGTCCACAGAATTCTATGAGACACTCCAAGAATTAAACTTATGCATTTATCAGGAAACTTACGGATCTATCCTTGAATCCTTGGAGTGGCCCACAGAAAAAAATTATGCAAACAGTTCATTTTAATCAAGACATACTAAAAAAAATTTATTTTCAGTGTGCAGTCTTTATAGAAATAGGAAAAACAACAATATTTGGCAGATACGTAGGTCCTCTGATTCTGATCAAATAGAATTGTCGGAGTCATTAAGATTCCCTGAAGATTCCGACTGTGAGTCATGTGGAAAATACTGCGTATGTTTGATGCCTAAAACAACTTCGAAAGTGAGCGATGCCGAACAAGGTCAGGGAAACCACAAATTCGTGAGTTGGTCAGATTACCACATTGGAGGTTCATTGGATCAACCAATTGACAAACCTGGAGGTTCATCAGATGAACCAATCAACCATGCTGGAGGTTCATCAGATGAACCAATCAACCATGCTGCAGGTTCATCAGATGAACCAATCAACCATGCTGGAGGTTCATCAAATGAACCAATCAACCATGCTGGAGGTTCATCAGATGAACCAATCAATAGAGCTAGAGGTCCATCAAATGAACCAATCAACCATGCTGGAGGTTCATCAGATGAACCAATCAGTAGAGCTGGGAGTTCATCAGATACTGGCAGTAAGTGTTCAGTTTATTTAATTTCAACACAAATAAAACAAAATGGTACAACTGAAAAGCTTTCCATCCAAAAAACCTTAAGCACACGTCTGCAAACAAACTTTCTGAACTTTTCTGAAAATGTAGACATGAGATTAAGTTCTACTTGTCAGTAGGGACGCAAGCTGAAAATTAGTCTGTTGTCTGAAGATCACATAGCGTGAAACTCTGAGTATCAAGTTGTTTCAAGTCCTGTTTTAATATTTCTATTTTCAAGACAATAATATATCATATATAATATATTATAAAGTCTTATATCAATATTGGTATTAGGGGATGAAAGGCTGCACCTGGCCGACTCTCGAAAGCACTGGCACAGGCCTCAAAATTTCTCTCACCTTGAGAAGGATTCGATCCCACGGCACCTATTCGTCTAGCAGACGACAATACAACTCCCAACCAAGCTATTGAACTGCCAAGAAACTAAAGTTATGATTTAAAAAAAATAGGTCTAGAAATTGAGAAGAAATATATGGGAGGTAAATCAACTTATGTTTTAAGAGTTATTTATAATGTTATTTTTATTGTCTGTATTTAGATATGCTCTGTAATTTTCAGGAAACTTTCAAATTTCTGAAGAATTGGCATCAGCTGAGGCTCTGAAATCAATCAGTTATGAGGACATGATGGAACTTACAAAGTTATTTGACCGAAGTTCATTGCCTGACAAGTTCAATTGGAAAATGCTGGCTTCCATAGTTTTAAAGTTAAATTGCCATGAAATAGAACACATTGAGTAAGTAAAAGGGAAAAAAAAGAAAACAAGTTTTATGTCTCACTTTTTTGCTCCTGATTTATATTAAGAAGATGAGCAAAGCCACACAGTGTACAATGAGGGAAACTTTACCAAAACCAAGGAATTTGTCTTCTCTCACATGGAAATGTGGATGTATTACCGTCGCCCCTGTCCGTCGGCCATTCACATTTCTTGTAGGCGCGATAGAGTCTACAGTTTTTATCTGATCTCGATGAAACTTGGTATGTATGTATATATTGATATGAGATATCAGTCAAGGTTGAAATTGGTAATAATCGGATGAATGGTTTCAGAGTTATTGCCCTTGACTTAGAAAAACGTGTCAAATTTGGCTTGTAGGCACAAAAGTTTTTATCTGATTTTGATGAAACTTGGTATGGATGTATATATTGATGAGATCTTGGTCAAGTTAGAAATTAGTAATAGACGAACAGCTTCAGAGTTATTGCCCTTGAGTGTACAGCGATGAGACATAGTTCATGTTTGAATTTGATGATAATTTGATGGAACTGTTCCAGGTTTTGCCTTGAATTATAAATATTTCTAAGATTATTTGAAAATTCATTGAGCCACTATCATTTCTGACAGCTGGTAGTGGGCGTATGTTACCTTGCGTGGCAAGCTATCTTTCAATTACAAGCTATTGAGGGATCTTTAACATGCACAACCTGTAGCATGCAGGGTTTAGAATTATTGTTAACATCTGAACGACTAGATGCTTTTCTATGTCAGTGTCTCTGACCTGTATCACTGACATGGGGAAACGAAGGTATTATTTGAACTTGTAATCAGACAGATACTTCAAATTAATCCTGTTGTTCAGAGGAAATCTGTGAGTTAGCTCTGAAGTTTTTGGTAGGAATATAAATGTGTATTTGTTTTTTTTTTGCAGATATAAACATAAGGAGAACGAAACTGGCCCAACACAGAAAATTTTTAGAAGGATGGGAACAGAGGGTAAAACACTGTTTAAAGTTATTAACGTCTTGGAGAGTTATGATACACACAGCAATGTTAAGGAAGCCTTGAAGATTCTATACAAGTATTGTGATGACCAGATAGTCATATAAGTTGTCAGATACAGTGAAGTCTTGTTGCTAATATTTGCACATAATATCGTGGCTCAAATTTTGACACTTCTACTGACTGGCTCCGTTAAAAAATTCCTGTTTCTGAGACTAAGGTACGATTGGTAAAAAAAAATGGCTCACTGTCCCTTTAAAGTGTTTAAAATACAACTATTATTGAAGGTTGAAAAATAAAATACAGACAGTTGAAAAATTGAATACTCCAAACATACAATCTCATTCAACAAAACTCTGAAACAATTTTGAACGTTAATGCTGATTGGCTTAGCTTAAAAATTTTCAGAAACTATGATTGGTAAAAAAAAAAATGGCATACCATTTACAAGATTTGATATTTTTAATCAACTTTCACTTGAAAATTTACATTATGAATTGTTCAAATATTTTCAAATATTTGATGTATATAGATTTAGCTGTTTTTTTTAATTGATTTATCATATATTATCTCTTTTAAATATTGTAATTATTGACTTGTAGGCTTTCTACTTTTTTTCTACTTTTTTTTCTACTTTTTTTTCTACTTTTTTTTTACTTTTTCTAAAATATGTCTTAAAAATGTCTAATATTTGTGATGTGTGTATTAAATCACCAAAACTTGTTAAGTCTGAAATAATTATTTTCTTCTTATCTTCATAGTCTAACATTTTTATTAAAGGAATACTACATTTTAGAAGGTTTATAATAATGACACATTACAGGGTATGCTTACTCTTTTAGACACCTAATATCACTTTTTATTATGAAATACTGACTGATATACTTCCTCATGTGAAATTAACTGCTGTTACCAATGTATTGCCAATATGTTGCTGTGGATTGGCACTTGGCTTTTTTTTTTACTCTTATTAGCCAAGTTGAAAATATCAAGTTTTGTATTTTGTAATATAAATAGTTTGTTTTACAAAACCAAAACAAAAAATACTACATCCAAGTTTAGGGGCCTTATTCACAAAGTTTTTATCTAAAATCGTTGAAGCCTTTTCTCTATCACATTTGTCTATCATTAGGTTCAAGCTTTATAAACCAATTATGTCACAGTATTACCCCTAATCCTTTCTCAGATTTTAGGATAGGGCCCAGATATATAAACCTTTGCCTGCAAAGGGCGGACTAAATACAGTTGAGGTCCAAGAGGACTTTCAAAAATTTTTGAAAACATTTTTTTTTGTAAGTTTGATCCCAAGGGTGGGTCCAGTGTTGCTCAGCCCACCCCTGTATGTTTTTATCATTAAAAACATTCCTCTCCAATACAACAATCATTTTGATTTTTCATGAGAGAACTAGAGGTTTTATAAATCGGGAAACTAAAGATCTAAAGAATACTAGATTGTAAGGACCAAAGATTGTCTCCATAGTTGTTTATTTGGCTTCATTTTGAAGGTTAGTTTTGTTGAACATGGAAAAAACCTGCTACCTGGATAATACTTCTATTTGTAAATAAATTATTATAGAATAGCATTAATCAGAGTTTTTGTTACATGATCAGCAAGGAAATGTTGTCAGAATTGAAACTGGACGAATATGAATTTATATCCAGGCCCATAGACGGACTTGATTGTTTGGAGATGCAAATAATATACCTGGCAAGTACACGTAATACTTCAAAAGGGGCAAGTAATATATCTGGAAGGAAAGGTAATATATCTGTAGGGGCACGTAATATATCTAGAGGGGCAAGTGATATATCTGGAAGGGCACGTAACATATCCAGAGGGGCAAGTAATATATCTGGAAGGGCAAATACATGTAATATATCAAAAGGGGCCCGTAATATATTTATAGTGATAAGTAATATGTTCGGAGGGGCCCGTAATATATCTATAGTGACAAGTGATATGTTCGGGAGGGGCGATGGTTAACGGACATACCTATTACTCGATGAACCAGAACGAAAACAAAGAGGCATATAATTTATAATAATATATATAACTAGAGACGTACATGTGTGAATTAATACCATTTGATATTGATGAGAAAATTAAGTATTATTGATACGTTACTATGACAACAACAATAGGTAATAGTTAGAAAGTAATGATAACTTTTGTTCGTTAGTGTTGGAAAACAATTGCGTATGGATTGAAAAAAGATCTTTATAGAACATGGACAAAGACAGAAGTAAAGTAGCATGGGCATATGGATACACTATTTGAAGTTTATTAATTCAATGTTTAACGTGTTCATACAGACAGTGTTATCAAATATTATATAGAATCACTAGATGTATAGATATACTATTTCTAACTCAACGTTTAACGTGTTCATACAGACAGTGTTATCAAATATTATATAGAATCACTAGATGTATAGATATACTATTTCTAACTCAACGTTTAACGTGTTCATACAGACAGTGTTATCAAATATTATATAGAATCACTAGATATATAGATATACTATTTCTAACTCAACGTTTAACGTGTTCATACAGGCAGTGTTATCAAATATTATATAGAATCACTAGATGTATAGATATACTATTTCTAACTCAACGTTTAACGTGTTCATACAGACAGTGTTATCAAATATTATATAGAATCACTAGATGTATAGATATACTATTTCTAACTCAACGTTTAACGTGTTCATACAGACAGTGTTATCAAATATTATATAGAATCACTAGATATATAGATATACTATTTCTAACTCAACGTTTAACGTGTTCATACAGGCAGTGTTATCAAATATTATATAGAATCACTAGATGTATAGATATACTATTTCTAACTCAACGTTTAACGTGTTCATACAGACAGTGTTATCAAATATTATAAAGAATCACTAGATATATAGATATACTATTTCTAACTCAACGTTTAACGTGTTCATAAAGACAGTGTTATCAAATATTATATAGAATCACTAGATATATAGATATACTATTTCTAACTCAACGTTTAACGTGTTCATAAAGACAGTGTTATCAAATATTATATAGAATCACTAGATATATAGATATACTATTTCTAACTCAACGTTTAACGTGTTCATAAAGACAGTGTTATCAAATATTATATAGAATCACTAGATATATAGATATACTATTTCTAACATTTATTAGACTCTTTGTTGGTATAACTAACATAGGAACCGATAAAACTTGTGAACAACATTATTATGTAGAAATCTTAAAATGAATAAAAAAAACGCTTTCTAAATTGTTAAATATATATATTTATAAACACTTGAGCTATATTCGGAACAATATAAACATACGATAATTAGCAGATAATTTCATCAACAACGAATAATTTAACATCAGAGTGGAAAAAATTACGCTAGTTACGGAAAACAGTACTGCAATTGTGTTCTCAGGATACAGAACATTTGTTTAGTCGAGTAAGAGCAACGAAATGTCTACCTTTGATCGACTTTCCGTTTCCGCACGGCTATGATTGGCGTTGTTTTGTATTGGGTGTTATTGAAGATACTCTTCCATAGAAGCACAGGCCAGGGTTTCAAACATTACGCATTATAGAAGATACTCTCAAGGTATACATCAGTATAGCGCGAAAGATTGGAAGACCTTCTGTTAGGTTCATGTTGATGTAAAGTACTAGAAGAATTTTTGATGATACAGTTTATAATGTCAAGCTGCGTTATTTTGTAAGCAGGTGCTTGATTGGCAAAATTAGAAAGTTTTAGTTTTGAAGATACAGTTCATAATGTAAATGTAGAACTGCTATATTTCATAAGGATATAACCATGACTTCGGTGGGTGTACAGCATGGTACTACAGAAGGTAAGAACAGTATATAGCATTCAAGCACCATTTTTTGATACTTTCTACCAAAACACGGGTTTTCGGATATTAATTCCGATTTAGCTGTGTGAAAATTATAAAACGCATGGCTGTGTTTTGATTAAGGCTCACCACGACGTGTCTTAATCTCTCGGCTGTGTTGGTTTTGGCTATCCGCATGGTTGTGTCTGTTAAGGCTCCGCTTGGTTGTGTCCATTTAGGCTAATCGCACGCTAACCGCACGGCTGTGTCAGTTTAGGCAAACCGCATGGTTGTGTTTACCCGCTAACCGCATGGCTGTGTCTGTTTAAGCTTACCGCATGGCTGTGTCCATTGGGCGTACCGCATGTGTGTGTCGGTTTAGGTTAACTTCATGGTTGTTCTGTTGAGGCTAAACCCATGCCATGTCGGTTTAAACCTCATGACTGTTTCTGTCGAGGCTAAACCTATTCCATGTCGGTTTAAACCTTATGACTGTTTCTGTTGAGGTTAACCGCATGGTTGTGTCGGAAAGAGAGATCTAATGGTCGGCAAGTTGACCAGATGTTAATTTGCGATATTACAACACAATGTTTCTCGTTACTGATTATTGCACGCTAACCGCACGGCTGTGTCAGTTTAGGCAAACCGCATGGTTGTGTTTACCCGCTAACCGCATGGCTGTGTCTGTTTAAGCTTACCGCATGGCTGTGTCCATTGGGCGTACCGCATGTGTGTGTCGGTTTAGGTTAACTTCATGGTTGTTCTGTTGAGGCTAAACCCATGCCATGTCGGTTTAAACCTCATGACTGTTTCTGTCGAGGCTAAACCCATTCCATGTCGGTTTAAACCTTATGACTGTTTCTGTTGAGGTTAACCGCATGGTTGTGTCGGAAAGAGAGATCTAATGGTCGGCAAGTTGACCAGATGTTAATTTGCGATATTACAACACAATGTTTCTCGTTACTGATTATTGTTCAGGTGGGATAATAAACCGAGGATGCCCAAAAGAACTTCATATTTGCAGGATACAGAATCTCTACTACGAAAAAAATTGGCATGTTATGACATGTATTTTTACAAAAAACTCGGTTAACATGCAATACAAAAGTTATACACCATGCTTCATTAATTATAAACTCTTAATGAATCTGATTATACACTGATTTATAAACGTTACCATGGTAACTAAATAAGCTATTATTCTAAACATAATATATCAAACTCTAGTCGATGGAATAATGATGACTGATGAATACCTGAGATTATAATTAGTTTATTAACACACCCTTTATTTTCATTTTTATAAATTTCGATAAGTAACTAGTAGCCTACTAACGATCTGAACCGCAAAACGAAACCTTGATCCGAATAACAGTTTGGCGAAACATTGGTAGCTAATGATCTATTTATATGAGGAAGTATATCAATCATAAGTGTGTAGGTATTTAATGATGAAAAGTGGTATCAGGTGTCTAGAAGAGTTAGCATACCCTGCCTGGCACCACACCCGTTATAATGAACTATTTATTTGAGGAAGTATATCAATCATAAGTGAGTAAGTATTTCATATGAAAAGTGGTATCAGGTGTCTAGAAGTGTTAGCATACCCTGCCTGGCGCCACTCCCACCATTGCTGTGTAATATTACCAGAATATCTTTCTAGTTTCAGAACTCGAATCAAGGATACCAACAATAAAAACAACCATCTCAAAACGATGCCAATGTACAGATACGGTTCAAAAATCGATCCTGGGTACCCTGCTCGCAGTTATTACTGGTGTTTTATGGACTTCCTTCTCCCAGTTGACACAGTTCACAGACGGTTACCAGACGCCATTTTTCCTAACCTACATAATCACAATCTGGTTAATTCCATTCTATCCTGTTTATTTTGTGATACAACACATATTTTGTAAAAGAAATCCCAGGGAAGTTTTCAGGTAAGCTTTCCTCCTATTTATCTCTTCATTTTGTAAGGAGTTAGTATCCGGGGCGGTCTGATAGGTCGGACCATCAGGCGCTGTCCTAGGGCAGATTCAGTTCGTCCCAGGTTAGGATGTGCTTACCCACTAGCACTGTCGTGTCACAATTATTGATTACTGAAGGCCCGTAGCCAGACCTGATTGTTCGGAGGGACAAGTAATATATCCGGAGGGGCAAGTAATATATCCGGAGGGGCAAGTAATATATCAGGAAGGGCAATGCTGAATGGTGCTTAGTTGCAGTAATGGAAATGGTTGGTTGTCAGAAATTTTATAGAGGGAGATGGTGGCCATCCAAACCCCCAACTCTGAGACCCATTTTCCATGAACGGATGGATGATTGCATCTTACTCTGGCCCCTGGATTGTATGCAAGATGGTGGTCTATCCAAGGTATATCGCTTTAGCCTTTTTGTCCCCTGATCTCAAGACATGTATATGAAATGCAGGTTCATTAATCCAACCAATCAAAGGCTCTGTTTAGTAATGGATCAAAGGCTGCGTATTTTAAGTATGTTCTGAAAATTAGGTGCACACATTACTGCAAACTATTGAACAGAAATGTATTGCTTATAGCTTAGTGTATTATGGAAAACTGTCTGGTATTTCATTTTAGAGAAAACCTGTTATTATATGCTGATAACAACAATATTAAAAGAGTCCGATTTCTGGGAAAGACAATCCTATTCAGTTTCGTATGGACCGTTTGTCTGTTTACTTATATAAAAGCCTTGCATTTATTGAACGGGGCAGACACCACGGCTATACATGCGACCAATCAGAGCTTCGTTTACATGTTATCATGGATCGTTTTGTTTGAGAAGTTCGTTGCAATTAGGGTAAGTTTTTAAATCTACAATTTCCTTATGATCACCTTGTAAACTTACGAGCTTTTTGTTAGATTTTGAATTTGTTCGTGATGGATATCTTGCGTTCTTGCGTTATTTATAAACGTTTAAGAAGTCCACAAGCAGCGAGGAAACCAAAAGTTGAGCAATATTACAGTCTCTTTGGGTTTAGTTATCACACACTTCGTCATTGATATCACACGTATCCTAAATGATATGTTCATTAGTACGGGACTGTCGTAGAAAACTGGTTAAATTACAACGGAGACGTAAATTATAATTTAGTTTTTTATTAGTAAAATATACTCTAAAAGAACTCGAAAGAACTATTAAACTAACTTTTTTACTGTTTTTAGATTCTAGCATTAGTGTTCAGTATAACTGGTATAGTGTTATTTGCCTATGTAGATGGGTTTGGTACGTTAGCTATGTGGGGTATAGTGGTAGCCGTCGCATCTTCGGCAAGTGCTGCTTTATATAAGGTAATAGTAAGAGCTCATGCTTCGAGATTGTCCAGTCTTTCACTTTCGTTGGATCCAGGGGGTCTCTGTTGCTGGTCATTTGAATTTGATTATTATTCGTTTCATGCTTTTAACACAATCCAGAATATAAATATCAAACACATTGGAATAAAAACTGAAACGAAACGAAAAAATAAAAGACGAACGAAAGAACAAATGGAAGCCAGTGTAGATCCGATGTTCCCAACCTCGGGTACGATTGTCCCGTCAGTAGGCCTCTTGTCTTTAACTGCCCCGTAGCTAAAAGTCCCCCGAAAAAATCCCCCACCCCTCGCTCCGAAAAATTTTGACAACCGAGTAACTCCACTACTGCATATACCATTGGATGTATTACTTGCCTCATCTACATATATTACTTACTTACTATGACCTCTGTTGTGTTCGCCTATTGAGAAGCTTTAGATGGAATATCGGACAAGTTTAGCCTATAGCACTATTATGATCAAACTTAAGACGCAAAACTCCCTTTCACTTCTTTTACACTTCACATTGTTTCAGCTATTGATAAAGAAGTTTATTTGTCTTCCGAGTTTGGGTCAGATATCGCTGTTTTTAACGTTAATAGGTAAATATTTATTGATATACCTTTGTCACTATTTTTTCACTTTTCTTGTTTACATCGTCGATTTCTCAATAACATCAATGCCACATAATCTAGTTCTTGACACGATTGCATTGAGCCGCCATTGATCCGAGACATTGTATATGTTTTTCTTAAAAATCCTTTACCGAGAGCATCAAGTTCAACTAGTAACCAGTTTATGACACGATAGCAGTGAGACACCATTGATCCCAATCGTTGTTATACGAAAGCAGTTAGTCGCCATATATCTAAAATCTTTAATGAGATTGTCGTGTCTAACTACATGTAGTTGAAACGAACGCTGTAAGCTGCCATTTGTCTAAAATAAAGAAGTTAACGTGTCCAACTAGCTAAAATTGGCAAGAACCACAGACGTCTTACTGTAAATTGTATTGGTGACAATCGATGTAATAAAAAAGGAATTAAGAAAACCTCTTTACATTAACAATGCGTACAAGGGCTTTGGTTTATTCTTTGATTTTTCTTGTTGTTTTTATGCTTTTAGGTGTTATTCATACCATTTCGTTGTGGCCAATGATTATATTATTCCATTTCACACATGTTGAAGTTATTATATGGAGTTCGCTCCCTTGGTTGTGGATTGTTGCCTCTGTTATATTATTTACAGGTAAGATATCGAGGAAATTTGTTAGCTGACATCAGTGTTAGGAGCCGTACACATCTTTCTTATTACAATTCATTTTAGAGATTTTTTTTTCATTTTTGTTTTTTCAATTTATTGACAAATGTAACATTGAGTAGAGAAGGAAAAGAACCGACTGAGAGAGCCTGATTTCGTTTTTACATATAGCATGGGTATTCCCTCTCTCTCCTAATTAATAGATTTTGTGCATTCTGACACATATTTTGGAGAAAAAAGGTAGACATTTAGATTTGTTGAAAATAAAGTGGGGGTATAATTGGGGATGCAAACCACTTTTCTAGCGGGACAAATGTCCATCTTGTACCCCCACTGGCGCCGCCACTAGCAAAAAATCTTAACTAGGTTTTACTGAATGAAAAAAAATCGATTTCTTTTAATTCAGCTCATCAAGTTTTGATAACGTATGCGCCATATATTTCCTATCCCCTATTTAATGGTCTAGGTTTGGCTTTAGGGATACCATTTTCAGCTTGTGAGTACACCCCTTTATTTATGATATTTTGTTATGTATTAAATGAGAAGGGTAAACTAAGTTTATAACAAAAAATCCAATTCAATCGTCACAAATCTAAAGCTGCTATAAATATCTAAGGCTCTCCGATAGTGTCGTCTTAAAATGTTTAGTTTTTGTGGAATCGCAAAGTGGAATGGTACAAGTTGATGTTATAGTGTTGCCAATGCACACAAAATTTTAGAAAATGCTTTTTACCATGCCTTTTAGAAGGAATCAGATTAGGCTTATATACCTGTATTTAATAAATTCCGTTTCAACCTGTTTTTCAGTGTCAGATTTTTTATGGAAGAATAAAGATTTCAGCGGCATGAAAATAGCCGCACTAGTTTTAATCGCGTCGGGTTTATTGTTGATTCTTGTACCTGAAAGTTGGTGTAATGTATTACTACGCTGGATTCCTTGCGGTAAAAAGGTGTGTGAGGAATCGGAGCCGGTTGGTGCTAGTCTACGTAGCCGATTACAACGAACGTCTACTGGCATCACATCGTTAACGTGAAAGTTAGTGAGATAGACATAGACCTTTCCACGTCATTAATTACGGAAGGCGCCATTTTGAACGTCACGTGATAGCCGCTATTAAGGTACTGAATATATAGTCAAACGTCAACGTGAAAAAAAGATATCTGAATATGGCGGCAATGTGAGATATGAATATTCATTATAGAAACATAACAGGAGAAATGGGAAAGGCAATGTGAGATATGAATATTCATTATGGAAACATTACAGGAGAAATGGGAAAGGCAATATGAGATATGAATATTCATTATGGAAACATTACAGGAGAAATGAGAAAGGCAATATGAGATATGAATATTCATTATGGAAACATTACAGGAGAAATGAGAAAGGCAATATGAGATATGAATATTCATTATGGAAACATTACAGGAGAAATGAGAAAGGCAATATGAGATATGAATATTCATTATGGAAACATTACAGGAGAAATGAGAAAGGCAATATGAGATCTAACTAAATACTAAATATATTAGAGGAAAAACTGGAAAATAAAATGAAATGGAGTTTTATGTCCTTCTAGTTTAGGATAGCTAATGTGTTGCCATGGAGCCTTATTCTGTGCCATTGTCAATTTTAGAATATTATTATCTGATGTATATATATATATATTTATATTCGTATTTCATTCTTAGTATAATTTATTAAAAAACAAAAATATTTCAATTTTATCTCATTGCTGGTCAGATGGATATCCGAGAATTTCTCCAAATTTGATCGAAGCTACATTCGATACGTTTTTGCAAATAACCACACAAACTTCCCTTTAATCAAAGATATGTATGTTTATACAGACAAAGCAAGACACGATTTGAAAGCCAAAGAAATATTATTCATATATGAATTATTAATGTCATTAAATACTTTTGGTTTCTTTTACATTCCGATAATACTAGAAATGTTTGAACAAACAAAGAAATATGGAAAGTAAGTACACTTTGATTGATAAACCAAGCTCACATTTGCGATAGTGTCGCAAACATAGTTGACAACATACTTTGCAAAACATTGTTAACAAACATAGTTGACATACGTTATACATAGTTGCAAGACATAGTTGACACACATTATACATAGTTGCCAAACATAGTTGACGAGCATAAGGGGGTGGGAGTTGGGATGGCGCTAGTCAAAACATAAATTGAAAATTATATAGATTTGCGTTATGGCGCTGTATTTGGTTCAAAATAGGATCCAGATCTGATTGTATAAATTCTTAAAATCACGTGGTCATTTCTTAGGTAGAAATGACTAATCTTATAAAATTAGAGTATTTTTACGTGTTTTATCTCCTATCTTATTTATTTTTTTCAATTTGAGTTTTCTAGAACCTAATTTTAACCGTAGACTTTGTAGAACGCAGAACGCGAATTTAACCTTTGGAACTTCACTACTGGATCTTGTTCGCTGAATCGTAATCTTTCGACTTTCTTCATTGGATCGTGTTCGCTGAATCGAAACCTTGAATATTACGGAAATTAAATCAGATCACGTGACATTTTCTGCATATTATCATTATTATTCGTCATTCATTTCATAAACTGTAATTCTAAACAGTATCTAAAATTTGAATAGAACAAAATTCACAGGAAATACACGGAGTTATCTTTTCTTGGGGCAATTTATTTCTCATTTTGGCTGTATTCTTCCGTTAGACAAGAAAGGTTGCTATTACAGTATAAGACAAAGTTCGTAACAGCTTGACATGGTGAAGATGTAGACATACATGCAGACGGTTTTATATTAATTATGAACAGGAAAACAATTAATGTTTTATTTGTTTACGGAAAATGGATAATAGGGCTTTGTTACCAGATGAAAATTACCTTCAGTTTCTGTTGATTAATTCAAAGCCCCACGTCTAATTAACTAAATACAGAAAAACAAGTTTAATAAGTTAGATATCTTACTTCAGAACTTTAGTTTAATTAGTCAAAAGTTAAAGAAATATTGCAGAAAGAGATTGTAAAGAGGTTTTTCTATACTTTATATGTTTTCTATGTGTATCTGAGACACTGATACAGACAGTAGTGATGG